GTTGGGCAGGCCAGTCAGGTGTTCTAGTGCCTTGGGGATGTGACTGCAGTTGCAGCCCCCGGGCTTCGTAGGCACCTTCCCTCCACTAGCGACTTGGGCGTTAACATGTATAATCCTGGCATGAAGAGTGATGATGATGATGATGATGAGGAGGAGGAGGAGGAGGAGGAGGATGATGATGATGATTGCAACAACAATAACAACAATTTGCTCTCTAATTGCATGAATAAAAACAAAACAAATCTGGCAGTAAATGGGACTAAGGACACTGGGTGCTCCCTGGGATAGCAACAAGAGTGGGTGGTAGCACACCCTGCCAACTAACTGGGGCAGTTAGTGAACAAAGGAAAATAGGTGATGTCATGTGCCTAGTGTGCTAATAGTACAAAGAATGGTATAGCATAACATGTTCATGAGTACTGTTTGTTGACACCGGATAGGCAACAGATGGTAAAACTGATAACGTTGAATGAGCATGCAATAGTAATGGATAGGAATAATTGACATGAGCCTTAATTGTTGATAAAGATACCAAGTCAATGTAGCTAATAGTGTCCACTGTTTAGGATGTCAAGTTCATTGGCACGTTCATAATACACTAATACAGAATAAAGAAATAGCATCTCTGCATGTGGCTGAGACATATTGATGGACAATAATACTAAGCTCTTGTGGTTAACTATACTTTACAAGAAAAGTGAACATAAAATGTGTTACAGGTTCCACTGTGCACATTGCATTAGCCCACTACATCCCCTACATACATGCACTTAACAAATGACAAACAGTCTGCACTCAAGCCTGATGGACTATTAGGACTCACAGCACTTATATCCAGTCTCCATAGCCCTGTACCAATTTATACACCTGGATGCCCAAGGACACAACACAATACCCCATGTGCAGTGCTCAAAACCAAAACGATCAAGTCTAGAGCACACTAACCCTTAATATAGGCCATCGAATACTGTACTGTACTCATTTTATAACAAAGACCAGCAGAAACAAGAAATATTAAACAATTTACTCATAATCGTTAGTCCTTGTCGTACCATGGACTAATATCAAAGGCTCAAATAGTTTATTTATAGTGGACAAAATTTGTTTCCAAGTCAAAAATGATTTTTGTTTTGTTTTGTTTCTTTTGTTCACTTTATTTTCCACACAAAAGAATATTACAAAAACACACGAAAAACTTAATATGCTATTTGAAATATGCCAGTAATCTGGTGTAATGTTTACATCTATAGGCTGACTTTCTGCAAGTCTCAACTATTACCGTTGCTTGCATCTAAGCATGAACACATGACGCTGAAACATGTTCTACATGTAATTGGGTGTCAAACATGGCATGATTGGTCATCAAAGATTTGAAGTTTAGCAGACCGTAACACAAACTTTTCATGCTTAAGTTCAGCACACGAAATGGCAGATAGATTGAACATTGAAGACTTCTTCAGAGAAATTGACCCTAATCTGTGTCAATATGCATACGCCTTTCACAAAAGTGGTTTTACTTCTAGAATAATAGTATTTGTTGATGGTGAACATTTTGAGTTTTCAAAGTGAAAAGTTTTGAGTGAACATTTTTGCATTACAATCTGCTAAACTTCAAATGTTTGATGACCAATCATACCATGTTTGACATCCAATTAAAGCATGCTTTGGCGTCATGTGTTCACACTTAGATGCAAGCGACGGTATGCAGTTGCATAACAACCAACTGTATGAAATACAAACCACCATTAGTACTGCTCATTAAATAAATTTAGTCTACAACTTGACAACAGCAGGTGGCAAAATGGAGGAGGGCAGAAACTTCAAATACAAATTCACAGCAAAGTGTTTAACCCAGAAAAAAGAATTCTGAGTGGTTCAATCACAGTGTTGTGGTGAAAAGCATTGAGTTAAGAAACAACTTAAACTTCAACATACTTATGGGAAACTGATCAACGTAAAAACTATAGTTTACTCAATTAACCACAGAGCTGAGTTTCCAAACGCGAACCGATGCAATAAGAACTTAACATATGCTTTAAGTTATATTTGAGCCCCCCAAAAATGATTTGTTTCTGTAACACGAGGTTAAACCTTTAATTCTGGAGCCTAATGGACTATACATATGCGCAAATCATTCATATCTTAGTTTGGACAACCCCAACGGAACCGGGAACAAATTTTCATTCATTGTTTGAATTGGCGTCAATTGTTGCTACACAACCGTGAAAACAAGGCAGCTTGATCATGTACCAACTTATCAACTATTAACCCATAAAATATGAACATTTGTAGATCGCCAGCAGAAACGTATTCAGTCACAGGATCACAAAACCTTTGCACTCGACCCGGATAAGCTATTGAAGACGTTTATTAATTAACTAACATCGATCTAATTCTTGTCATCCGAAAACCAACTTGATGTTAAGCGAGGAAATAAAAATAAGTTTTCTTAATCTTCAGACACATTACGCAAATTCCACCAAACCTTTATGTTACTGACCACCCTTACCATATATGTGATGGATCCTCTAATGCATAAAAGCGCGTTGCAATTGTCACAAACAACATTCCTCCAAAACCCAATAGCCGGCCAAACAACTTGGGGTTTACTTTAGCCAAATCGTTCGATTTCGCCATGCGTGATGCTTCTTTCACGGTTTCTCGTGCTTTCTCCGTGGGTGATGGCATTTCTGACTCACTGTCGCTGTTCTTGTCTGCTTTCTTGGTTTTTACTCCCTTCCCTGGTGTCATATTTGTAAGATGAAGTTGTAAAGTCGAGTTTTTAATGCTGTAATTTACCGCTTACTGTTTGCCTGAAATGGCGCCGAAGCGTGGAAGTGCCGCCTGCACGATTTTCGAACCCTGCGGGCCCCAGGCTCTGCTCGGCCTTCGCGCCCTACTCCTTCAGATAACAAAGTACCTGATTTTTCTCTCGACCTGAAAAAATTCTGGCAAGAGATTCGTTGAAAATAACTTAAAAGATTCAGGATGCATATTGAGGATTTTTCTTTTCACTCCATTGAAATTCAGATAAAGATATTGAAGATTATTAAATTAGTGGTGAGTGGTCAACTGGTTATACATTTTATCGTAATTTTTTTAAATTTATTTATCCATTTATTTGGTTTTTTTGTTTGTTCATTTAGTTATTTATCGATTTACCTATTATTTTAGTTATTCATAATTGTTGTAAAGATCCACATCAGCCTAAGGCTACCTGGAACTCGACCTTTTTTGTATAATAAACGGTATGTAGGCATGTATGTATGTAAATTCTGGATACTTAATTAGTCAAGAACGATTTTCCGAGGGTTTGGCAGTGTATGTAGATATGAACATTTCGAACAAATTGAATGAATCTCTTGTGAAAAGAATCTGAACATTCGGTAAAATTGTTTTAATTTAAACAATCAACCGGAACAAAAGAGAAACATTGACTTCTGTCAACTGCCGTCAACTCAGCAATAGAGGAAAAACTCACTTACAACTGTAAGCGACAAAAGTGAGTAACTATAAGCCGTTAAGATCCCACATTAAAATGATCACAATTTTTAACATCAGCGCAAAGTCTCCGAGTGGATGTGATTGTCGAATGGGACAGGTAAGCGGCAGCCAGTGCTAACTGGAAATAAACGTAAACCTTCGAAATGTCATTTCTTCTCACCCCCTCCCCCTCCCTCGCATAGCCCCAGACATAAACATAAATCACAGATCAGAACAACAGCATCATTCTATGAAAGAAAGCATCACAATTGAACGAAATCTTTGTACTAACCAGATATGCGATGGCAAAGTCAGATTGAATAGCCTTGTTCCAAATCCAAGTGCAACAATGGCCAGTAGAAGAAGCAGTCTCCTAAGCCATCGGGGCAGCTTCTTTTCCACCTTACTCGCAGCGCCCCCAATAACCGACAGCCACTTTGGAGAGGGAGATTTCTCCTGCTCTTTCTTGTTCGGTAATTTAGCTCTAAGAACTGCTCTCTTAAGTTCAGCTTTAGTTCTGCCTGTACTCTTGCCAGCCTTTCTATTGCGGATATCTCCATTATGGTGTTTAACCCCAGCGTCTTGTAATGTTTTACCTTCTTTGTCTATCTCACTTTCATCGGCTTCGTTTTCGCGTAAATCATCGTCCTTTTTAACATCTCCGTTTTGATAGCTATTGTCCTCTTCGGAGCTTACTTCGGATCCCATTATTATGAAGGAAAGGTTGGCCTTTAAGCCCGCGAGCTAACAAATAAAATTTTACTTTGCAGAGCGTGGTTTACGCAGTCCACGTCGCGCTTTTATTGCATATTTAAATTCAAAATTACACGTGAACATTGGTTCTGTTGGGTAAATGTATCAAAACATTCCACTCGAATGTCTATTGTCTTGCTTGGTAACCGAAACAAACCCGACTGTTGCACGCGCGTGTTTACTATCTTTTAATACAATTTTAATGAAGGAGCTACGTTACCATGGTTACCATGGTGAGTGAATGGGAAATTTTCAGTAGCAACAGGAGTAATGCAAGGTTTATCCCCCTCAGGTTTACAGGTTAATGTTTATAGCTTTGGTTATGTAAAACTGTATATAGGAAGTAAGTATTTCTTATAGGGTGCAAATGTAATACGAATGAGCCTCGTGGCTCATCACGCCAGCGCTTACCTTCGGTTTCTGTAGCATGTAGCGACCAGGAGTTTTTCAACTATTTCCTGGATGGGATGCTAGTCCGTTGCAGGGTTATTGAACAAGCGTGAGGTCCGTATTGAAGAAATATTGGTCAAGTTCTTTTTCTTTTCTTTTTTTTGGCATGTTTATGGACCAAGCCGCAGGAGAAGTCCATAAACCTGCGAAAATAAAACAAAAAGACGAGACTAATATTCCGGCTCCAATACGAACCGAACAAGCTAGTTCAATAAAGTCTTTATCCAAGAGATTATGGTCCCTTGATTTATTGTAATGACTCTTTTTCATCTTTTCAAAATAAAACACTGCGATGAAATGGAAAATCATTAAAACCATTTTGTTTTAAAATAAATGTCGAGTGGATAAAATAGGTTCGAATTTAAATGTAAACTAAGATTTCCTTAGGGACATGGATTTAAAGACGGCAATGTTAAAAAATGCTAACATTGTTAAAAATATATAATGTTATGAAAAGAGAATGAACTATACACCAAGGTTCACAAAGTCTTATTTAAATCACTTGCTGACACTCTGTCCGCAAGGCTCAAGGGCTTGCCCACTTGTATGGGTTACTCAAGACAAGTGCAAACTAACCTGTGCTGTCTATGAGATCAATCTTATCCGCGACTAGAACATACAACTGTATAGCCGGTTGCAAAATGGCTTGAAGCGAAACCAAAGCCTCTGTCGACCAATGCTTACACTATTAGCGATTTAGGATCACCCAACTAGTGGACTAATCCAAATCCTGCATTTTAATTGACTATGCTACCAGAGGACTATTAGTAATAGTCCTCGACTAGCGAAATTGGCGTAATCGAGCGTGACGCGTTTTCTTTCGTTTTATTTCCAAATAGCTTCTTCAACTTGCATTTTCTAACTTTATTATTGCCTTTTCTAACCAAAGATCAACTTACGGATCTGCTCATGCAAGCTTGCAACTACAAACTAACTTTTCAACTTAATGATACGCTTTACGAACAAGTCGAAGGGGCGGCGATAGTTTTTGGGCCATTACTAACTAAAACGCGCCTTCCAAATGTATATATTATTGAAGTAGCGCGAGGTTTATTCTGGAGAAATATTGGTCAAGCTCTTTTGTTTTGCGTCTCGGTCCCTAAACCTGCAAAGAGAAAAAAAAAAGAAAAAGACCAATACTCTCCAATACGGACTAAACAAGTAAAGTACTTATTAAAATGGTACGTCGTAATATTTTAAAATAAAACACTGCGATAAAAAGACTTTAATTGAAATAATTTTGCTTCAAAATTTAATGACGACGTTTCGGCGTTTGCTTAACGTCATTATCAAGTCTCCTGAGTAAAGAAAATGAGTTAGACATTAAATACAAACTAAGAGTTCCTATGAGACACGAATCAAAGGAAACAATGTTTAACAAAACGAGTGGAGACCTTATTGCCCGAAAAAAAATTACACAATGCGCGAAAGTGCGAGTGTTGTTCAAACGCACTCAAATCGCAGTAAAAACAAAAACATTGGCAATTCTCACGTCTAATGAAACTGTTATCATTCCAAAAGTAGTTATTTTGAAACCTCGCATACCCTATGACGTCGATTGACAACCTAATAAAATCCGGAAACTTTTACAAAAGAAACAGTTAATTCTCTCTCGTACGAAAAGTTCAAGAACATTAAAACGGCTCTTTATGGAGCCATTCAAAACGGCTCTTTTCAGAGCCACCACAAAAACAAAAGTCTTGGTCTTCGCTTGCTTTGATTCTTTTGCCATTACTTTGTTGATTGAAATAAAATCCATCTCGTGGATTTCCACGATGCACATTTAAACGTTATATGATTTTTCCAAAACAGAATGCCTGTATCCTTGAGGAGAGGAGAAAGTGCTGCCTTTGTAATGACATCTACAAATGGTTAGATTTTCTAGTCTTCTCGGATGAGGACGATAAACCGTAGGCCCCGTCTCACAACTCTTCATAATTAATTCTGTGGGACGTAAAAGAACACACACACTGATCGAGAAGAGTAGGGGACGTAGTTCTCAGTGTGGGGCCTATCTCTCATCTGATGGTTAAATGCTCGGAGATATTAGCTGCATAAGCTACTCTGAAATCCTTGGGTAAATAAAGTAATGTAATGTATGTATGTATTTGACCTTAACTCCAAGGCATACGTCAGAGAAAGTAGCCTACAAGCCTGAGCTTGACTACCTTTTAGAATGTTTTCTCCCGAGTACTTTTCCCGAATCATCAGCGTTTTGCCCGAAAATTTCAAAACTTTTTGAGACTTGGGGGGCTGCAGCCAGGGGGCTTTTGGCGGGATATTTAGGTAATTCTAGGTCGGTCAGTCTTTCGTGTTCGTCTACTTTTTTAAGGGTAGCCGTTTTATTGGTTTTTCGTATCGGACGAAGCGCAGGTTCTAATTGTCAGAACCAATAAATTGTCATTTGCAAGGACAACGATTATTTTATTACACGGTATACCTCTTACTGACGCATCCTCAATTAAGTATTCACATTGAATGTCTCTTGTTAGTGTGAACCAGTGTAGTCAGAATGAAGGAGGCTCGTTTTTCTCTTATGGTTTTTCTTCCATAGGCCACATGAACCCAAGGGGAGAACCCATCACCACGCCTTCCACTTGTTCAGAAAACGCACTATTAAGTTGAAAAAGTTGGATTGTAGTTGCATTGCAAGCTTGAGCAGATCTGTAGTTGGCCTTTGATGTGGTTTAGATTAATTATAGGCTTTGTTGAACCAGTTTTCATTGAAAGCTTTCTCAACCACAACCTTGATCCCAGGTTCTCTCTCCCTTACCCCTCTTTTGACAAGGGAGAAAGCCTGGGATGAGGGAGGCAAAGGGGTCGTCCCATGTGCTCGCAGTGTGTTCATCGCTCTGTTAGTGTGGCGTTGTGGATTGAATTATAGTTTAGTGGTTCTCGGCNCTTATATCCAGTCTCCATAGCCCTGTACCAATTTATACACCTGGATGCCCAAGGACACAACACAATACCCCATGTGCAGTGCTCAAAACCAAAACGATCAAGTCTAGAGCACACTAACCCTTAATATAGGCCATCGAATACTGTACTGTACTCATTTTATAACAAAGACCAGCAGAAACAAGAAATATTAAACAATTTACTCATAATCGTTAGTCCTTGTCGTACCATGGACTAATATCAAAGGCTCAAATAGTTTATTTATAGTGGACAAAATTTGTTTCCAAGTCAAAAATGATTTTTGTTTTGTTTTGTTTCTTTTGTTCACTTTATTTTCCACACAAAAGAATATTACAAAAACACACGAAAAACTTAATATGCTATTTGAAATATGCCAGTAATCTGGTGTAATGTTTACATCTATAGGCTGACTTTCTGCAAGTCTCAACTATTACCGTTGCTTGCATCTAAGCATGAACACATGACGCTGAAACATGTTCTACATGTAATTGGGTGTCAAACATGGCATGATTGGTCATCAAAGATTTGAAGTTTAGCAGACCGTAACACAAACTTTTCATGCTTAAGTTCAGCACACGAAATGGCAGATAGATTGAACATTGAAGACTTCTTCAGAGAAATTGACCCTAATCTGTGTCAATATGCATACGCCTTTCACAAAAGTGGTTTTACTTCTAGAATAATAGTATTTGTTGATGGTGAACATTTTGAGTTTTCAAAGTGAAAAGTTTTGAGTGAACATTTTTGCATTACAATCTGCTAAACTTCAAATGTTTGATGACCAATCATACCATGTTTGACATCCAATTAAAGCATGCTTTGGCGTCATGTGTTCACACTTAGATGCAAGCGACGGTATGCAGTTGCATAACAACCAACTGTATGAAATACAAACCACCATTAGTACTGCTCATTAAATAAATTTAGTCTACAACTTGACAACAGCAGGTGGCAAAATGGAGGAGGGCAGAAACTTCAAATACAAATTCACAGCAAAGTGTTTAACCCAGAAAAAAGAATTCTGAGTGGTTCAATCACAGTGTTGTGGTGAAAAGCATTGAGTTAAGAAACAACTTAAACTTCAACATACTTATGGGAAACTGATCAACGTAAAAACTATAGTTTACTCAATTAACCACAGAGCTGAGTTTCCAAACGCGAACCGATGCAATAAGAACTTAACATATGCTTTAAGTTATATTTGAGCCCCCCAAAAATGATTTGTTTCTGTAACACGAGGTTAAACCTTTAATTCTGGAGCCTAATGGACTATACATATGCGCAAATCATTCATATCTTAGTTTGGACAACCCCAACGGAACCGGGAACAAATTTTCATTCATTGTTTGAATTGGCGTCAATTGTTGCTACACAACCGTGAAAACAAGGCAGCTTGATCATGTACCAACTTATCAACTATTAACCCATAAAATATGAACATTTGTAGATCGCCAGCAGAAACGTATTCAGTCACAGGATCACAAAACCTTTGCACTCGACCCGGATAAGCTATTGAAGACGTTTATTAATTAACTAACATCGATCTAATTCTTGTCATCCGAAAACCAACTTGATGTTAAGCGAGGAAATAAAAATAAGTTTTCTTAATCTTCAGACACATTACGCAAATTCCACCAAACCTTTATGTTACTGACCACCCTTACCATATA